AGAGTAGTTGCCAGATTGTACGTCCCGGCATTTGATCAAACGTCTACTGTCGCCTTTCATCGGTTCATCGCCGATCGAGTTTCCACTTTCCTTGAATTGCAGAATTGGAATGCGCTGCTCCAATTCCTTGGTAAAACCTCATGATATATTTTAGGTGAAGTCTGGTTACATTCAGCGCAAGCAAGATTGAATACTTTTTCTGTTCACTGACTTGTCCGACTACTTCTTCTCAAACGCTTAGAGAAGCATGATCTTGGGATTAAAATTTACAAACGTATAGAGCAGTTTTAGCTATTTTTGAACGAGATCGTATTAAGAATAGCCGATTTACAGCAAACGTAAGTAGGTTTCACGACTACTCCATGATTGTGTGTAGCAGATTATATTTATTAATTAATCCTTCTATTGCACAAGCAAAAAAAAAACAACATAATGTACGTACAATGTGACAGCAAATTCACACCTGTCTGTTTGGTCAAACTGGGCCTCATTACAACTCTAAGAATATGTATAAACAATCTGCGAAATGAAGAGACCAATAAGAATCCTTCTATAGATCAGCCTACTTTAGAATACGGTTGCAGTTATAATTGTCGATAGGTATAGCATGAGATATCACCTTTAGTTTCTTGGCAGAACAGCTCTGTGTTCGTTACGTAACTGAAAATGGAGTTAAGGGGAAGGGGAATGAAATTTAATGTCGATTGCATACCTGAAATCTCCATTGGCGCAAATAACATCGAATCTGCCTCCAAACTGAGCTTCAGCAGCGAGTTGAATTAATCGCTTTGAACTGTTCAAATTATCGTCGATATTCTAAACGATTTCTTTTGAAGTAAAAGAAGAACTGAACAGAGTCATGGACAAAATTAATACAAACATCAAGCATGAGCTTTCTGAGATCTTCGGAATTGCAGAGCGGATCGTCGGTCAGTTTGAGATTCGTAATATCCACGACTTTCTCCTCAGCTTCTGGCACTACTGTCGAGGGGACATCACCCAAGGGAGCCTGAAAGTGAGTTCGTCATTTTTTTTCCATTGACAAATGAGCTTAACAACTCTGCAAATTATCTTTTGACTTACCTGAGTGGTCATCTCCACTCCAGATTTCTC